ATCTTTAGTTTTTAACAAATAGATCCATACTTTCCTAGAATGATAATCTACAATGGAAAGAAAGTACATGTGACCGCCGTGTGTAGCCACTCTTTCAAGTCCCCATAAGTCTGCATGAACATAGTCCATGGGCTCTTTGGCTCTATAGCTTGATGAGGTGAAGCTTAATCGGTGTTGTTTGCCCATTATGTACTGCTCGCGGAATTCCAGCTGGTTTACTCTATCCTTGCCAAGCAGGCCTTGCTTGCTTAATTCTTGTAGCCCTCTTTCACTAACATGGCCTAATCTTCTATGCCAAATAGTGGCATTTTCTTTATCTTTTTCTGCCGTGGCTGTAATTCCAATGGCTGTATGTCCCATCAACACATATAAGCCTTGTTTTTTCTTGCCCTTCATTGTGACCAGATTTCCTCTTAGAATCTTCAGGGTTCCACCTTCTACTTTGTAAGAATAACCCGAGTCATCTAAAGTTCCTAAGGAGATGAGGTTTCTCCTTATTTCAGGAACATGACGGACATTCTTTAGAACTTGTAGGGTTCCATCGTCCATCTTTAGGGCAATAGAACCAAGTCTTGTTACATTACAAGACTGGTTATTTCCTATCAAGACTTTTCCTCCATTGATTTCCTCATAATCTGTAAACCAAGATTTCCTGGGGCACATGTGGTAAGTGCACCCAGAATCTAAAATCCACTCATCTTCTTGTCTGGTTACCCCTACAACCAAGATCTCTGAGCTGTCACATCCTTCTGCTTGATTTGCTGCAGCTTCTCCTTCTAACCCCTTTTGTTCAGCAAGCTTTTTCTTCCACTCTTTGCAGAACCGCTTAATGTGCCCAGGTTTATTACAGTGAAAACACTTTCTTTAGGCTGATCTGGATTTGGACCTTGAATTTGGTCTGAATTTGGGTTTATTATGTTCTTTCTTTGGGGGCCTCCCTCTTGAGAAAAGACCTTCATCACCAGTAGTGTCTTTTCTCTAGGACATTTCAAATTTTATTTCTAATTCCCTAGACCTCAACGCAGAAAGTACATCCTCTAGGGACAAACTTTCCTTGCCATACTTAATGGCATTCTTGACTTCCCTAAAATTTTCTGGTAAGGAAATTAGGAGAATCACCGCCTGGTTTTTCTCCTCTATTTTTTCCCCAATATTAGCAAGATCTATTATTATTTTATTAAAATAATCAAGATTCTTCTCTAGACTTTTAGAGGTGTCCATTCTAAAACTGAAAAGACTCTCTTTTAAGTAAATCTTGTTTGTAAGGGATTTTGTCATATATAATTGTTCAAGTTTGAGCCATACCTTCGCCGCAGTATCCTCCTCGTTTACCTGTCTGAGAACGTTGTCGGCTAAGTAGAGGATGATCGTGGAGTATGCAATTTCTTGCAAATCGGCCTTCTCTTCCTCGGTTCCTTTCACGTCCTTCATGTCTCCTAGGGCTTTCGTAACCTTCTGTTGAACGAGTATGGCTCTCAATTTTTTTCCCCATAAGCCAAAATCTCCAGAACCATCGAACTTCTCGAGCTCGAATTTGACAGTTCCCATTTCTTCTTCTCTCTTCGATTCTTGATCAAGATCGCCTGAGAAACCCTTGAATCTGAAAACTTCCGCTTCTCAACCAAAGCTCTGATACCACTGTTAGACAATCGCCAACACCAGACTCAAAACAAAACTAATCTCAGAAAAGAAATCAACAAGAACACAATCAATTGTTTGACCGAGGTTCAGACAAATAACTCATCCTATGTCCCCGTTGAGCTCCCCCACAGCGAGCTCTATTCCAATATTAGAGAAGAGATTACAACCCTCACAGCTCTCCAATCCCAAAACAAGAACTCTCACCCAATTACAAGAATCAAACCCAGAGAAGAGACACTTGTGTTTCCCTCAAGAACAATCCTCTCCTGATTTTCTTGGAACCCAAACACCCTTACAATTCTCTCTCTCTCTCTCTCACCGATGGAGTTTCTCGTTTACAAATTTGTGAGCCAAATGGAATGAATTCCACCGACAATACAAGCCTCAGATTATATCTAACCCAATACAACATAAACTAGATCTAACGGTAGCTGGCCCTCCACGTGTAGAGCGAGGATCTCCCCTTTAGAAGAAACCAGCTGCATTGAATCCCTTTAAGTGACTTGTCATTTCTAGTACCACTTCTCTAAACGAGCTGTCGTTTGTGGAATTACACTCACAGTATATACTCATAAATGTTGTCGTTAGAGATCAAAGATTCGTGGATAAGCATCTCTATAATAGCAGCAAAAAGTCTTCATATTTAATTTTCAAGTTCCTCAATTACAATAAAAGAATATACGCACATGAAGGATCTCTTACTGTTCACAATGATGAAGACAACGCCAAGGAGTAGCTTAGTTATGTTATTGATAATTTCTTCCTACTACGTAACGGGCATGGAAAAATTCGAAACAGGTGACTATAATACTATTCGAGTACAAAGAGAAATCAAGATACAAAGAGACACCAATAATGACTATAATACTATTCCCACCAAGAAACAGGTGTATTGCGAAGGGGTCTATTATTGGTTGGTTTCCAAGAATTATTTCGAGTCCCTTAATGAAACAATACAATCATTTGATTTTCATGATGAGGAATTACATAGCAATATTCCACTATTCAAACCCTACTAGGTGGAATGAAAATGTTGCTTTGTTATCCGACGCTGCGTCATGAGTAATCAAACTCTAAGGGGGCGTTTGGTATGCAATAATCAATAGGAATTAAATACGTAGGAAAGTGATGGTAGGTAATATGATTCTCTGAAATTCTACGTTATCATGTTTGGTTATGCCTAGAAATCTTTTGTTAGATTCCCAGCAATGTTATTTTACGGTGTTTGGTTGGGCATAGTAATGTAATCCTTCTTATAAAGTTAATAATTGAAAAAAAATTTGAAACTAATTAACTCCTATTATTTCTATTTTACTAACTTATAAGATTAATACTATTAGTGGATTTTTTAAATATTATGAAAAAATACAAAACTAAAAAATGCTCCCTCTCTCTCTCTCTCTCTCTCTCTCTCTCATCCCTCTCGATCTCCCTCTTGATCTTCCAGTTCCACACGGGATTGGACTTTGCCAGGCGTGGGCGGACAAAGGCGATTCGAGGCTGGTCACGAGGCTGCGCGATGGTCACGGGGCAATGGTGCGATGGTCACGGGGCTGCGCGAACGGAGGCGATTCAAGGCTGGGTAGACAGAGGCGATTCGAGGCTGGGCAGACGGAGGCAATTCGGGGATAGACGGACAGAAGTGACTGTCACGAGGATGGTGGGACGGTCAAAGGGCCGGGTGGACGAGGAGATCGGCGAACACTGTTGGATATGAGGATTTAACAGTGGGGTAGGGCAGTAGTGGATCAGAAGGCGAATTTAACGGTGGTGGCGGCACAGGAAAGTCCGACGACGAAAGGTGGCGGCGTGGTCGACGGAAGAGCAGTGGACAAGAGAGGCGGTTGGGTCTGCGAAGAGATAGGTGGGAGAAATGTGGGAAAGTAAATAACACCCATTTTTTAACTTTCCCGTGTTATTAATTTTCCTGAGAAAATAAATAGCACCCTCTAAGATGGATTTAAGATTACCTCAAAATGTGGTAATGTTAAACCCATGGACTTCACTTTTTTGGGTTTTAAAAAAGTCTAATAATTGTACCAAACATAAGAATCTGAAAGATTCTCATTCCCACCCCTGAGATTACCCCATATCAAACGCCCCCTAAGTGATGACATCATAAAAGTTGTCGAGGGTGGACAAAACATGTATCAATCGATCCGCTAGGAGGTATTTGCGAAATCCGATAGCATTTTGGAAGTGTGATGAGCTCCTTATTAGACAAGGTAAACAAGGCCTGGTCTCTTATAACCTAGTCACCAAGAAGGTTACAAGTCTTGAGAAATTAGGAGAGACGACACATTTTCGTGCTTCTGGTTATGTCAAGAGTCTGGTTTCAGTTGGCATAACAACTCCCATCAGAATTAGAAGAGCTCGTAATGATAAATATGTGTGTATAGCCTAGTTGGACTTTAGGGTATGTAACCAACCGGTTCCTACAGAATTATGTTTTTTTTTCTCTTTTAGGAGATCATTTGTCGTTTTCTTGATAGAAGAAAGAAAGTTGTTTTATTTAAGAAAAAAAAAAAGGACACGTTTATTGCAAGTTTGAGTATTAATTACTAAACATATCTCTAGTTATTAGTTATTTATTTTGTGTTCTTAACATAATTCCTTTAGAATGTGAACAAATAGTTAGCTACCTTGTAGTTATGCCTTGTTAAACAAAGGGGAAAAAAAGAAAAGAAAATTAAGCCGTAAAATGGAAAGGAAATACGAAATATGGCTCTTGATGATAAGAGAAAATGTGCTTGAACTAAAGTTGCTATATCAGAGGTAGATGTCATGTAAATTAAAATCTCTCGTACTGGCATCACTAATCTTGTTGAATGATTCTCGAAACGAATAAAATGAATAAATAAATAAATAAAACAAGGCGTAAGCAATTACTAATTAATGATTCCTTTGGTTCACAAAGCTCTTACTTTATTGACTACATTTTATGATACGGACTTGGGAACGCATAGGACAAGCGAAAAGAGAGCTCTTTCTACGAGCCACTATTTTCCTTGCATTTTGTTCCCCCCAGCCTTTTTCTTTTTCTCCGTCTCTTTACATGGAATAAATGATTTACGCAGAAAAGGAACCGCTTTACACATGAAACTTTTGAGAGCGTGGGACGCTTTAAAAAAACTAATTAACAGAGCACTCTATTTTAATCGTTAGATTAAATTTTTAACGGTTAAATCTGTATATATCATTTAAAATACATCGTGTAAAACTGCTATCTCTATAAATTTAACCGTTAAAAAAAATAATCTAACAATCAAAATAAAATGTTTCACCGTAAAGTTTTTTAAAGGATCTTAACCCAGAGAAAACCACAACTTTTTCTTTCTTTCTCTCTAGAAAAGGCTCTTTTTTTTTTAATTTATTGATAAGAGATAACCAGCTAATTAATAAAGCTTGCTTTTTCTCAATGTTCTGCATACTCATTCCTTTAAAAATATATATATAAATAATAAAAGGAATAACTTTATCTTACAAGCAGTCAAGAAGACGCCAATAAAGACGACTGGCTTCAGCACATGCTTTTTGTTCCCTTGGATCTTTTAGTGGTACAAATTCACCTTCGTCCCAACCATGTCAGCTAATATTCCACAATTGCCTATGCCTTACTGATCGCTAACAAAATGTATATAACCCACTTGAGTGGAAATAAATATGTTGCTTTCTTACTCGACCTGAAGGCCTCCATCTAGGACCGGGAGTGAGAAAAGTCTTATGTAATCCCTTTCTCAAGTCTAAACAATAATCCTGCATTGCCAGTTTAAATCCATCAGAAGCAGCCAGATAAAGAAGTTACAGCAGTAAATTTCACTAACAAATTCAACAAAAACACACACACACATCCATATGGGTGTGGTTTAAATAGTTATTCTAATATTTACCCATCAGTGAGTGTCATTCTTTTAACCGTAAGATATTGATCTCACGGTTGTAACAAATTGGATAGTTAACTAAAAATATTTATGACACCTAATGAAATTGGATTCTTGTCACACCACATCATCAAATTTTTATAGGTGTATTCATTTGCTCAACTCAAGTCACGACTTGAGTTGTGTATGTGAGAGAAAAACACTATAGCAAAAAAGTTAAATTTGAATTTATGTAAGAGAAATCACTGTAATAATATGACTTGAGTTATGAGATGAATAAGGCCATATTTGATAGGTAACTACTATGAAAGTGTAACTATTGAAAACTAGTCTATATATATATATATATATATATATATATATGTGTGTGTATGTATGTATAAATATGTGTGTGCCTATGTGTATATAGATATGTATGAAATAAACTCATCTACTAAACTGTCAGGTAAGCTTCCATTAACTACAAGTGTTTCTTAGCTGGTGATTGCTTGAATGCCTAATGCAATGCAAGTAATTCAAATGCTAGTTAAGGAAAAATCCCAAAAGGTTGGAATTCTGATGAGTGGAGACTTTGTTGAAGAAAGATAGTTCAACTTCTTCATTAGGCATCCCATTTTCTCCTTTCTCTTTAAGATTGAAAGGAAACAGGCTAATAAAGCGGCTAATATAGGGCAAGGAATCAGATAAAGCGGCTATTGCTAATACAGGGCAATGAATCAAATTTTATTGTTTACCAAATCTGACGTCAACTATGTTTCAACATCTACAATCTATTTAATCACTATTACTCTCCACAGAAGACTATAGTCATTTAGAATAACAAAACAATGCAATACTTTTATCATATAAAGGATTCATGATTTACTACTCAGCACATGTCAACTAAACTTTTCATCACCTTTACTTCCCAAAGAAAACTTGGTTAATCTAGATGGAGGAAAAAAAATAACGGAACTTTAACCTCAAGAAGAAAGAGCCGTTTGGAAAAGATTAAACTTTAATTAATTCTAAGTTTCTGAGCCTGTTCTTGTAGTATGTTTTATTTCGAGATATTAAGGGGAAATACCTTGCTCGAGTACACATTTCAAGCAAGATCTCCTTCCTTAAACCATGGTATTCTGAGAATTAACCATGACGAAACTCATCTTATGTTAATGAAATAGCAACACCAAACATGTGATCAGACCTTTAATTCACAAAGATCTGAATTCACCATGATCAGAAATACCAAAAACTCTCAGATCAGATGCAACCAATTACCAATCCATAGAATTCCAAAACCTTCCTTTCCACCCAAGAAATAATGCAAAAACATTAACACCCAACAAATCAAATAATGCCATACTCGAAATCTAATTAAGTTCACCTCATTTTCATCTAAAATCATACATTCCCACTAACTGAAAAAAGCAGATATGACAAATGCTAAGTGAAGATTATAAAACCATGCATGAAAACTTACAAAAACCAAAACCAAAGATGTATAAAAACAAAAACAAAAAAACAAAAAAAAAACAAAAAAAAACAAAAATTCAACAATTCAAGTTATTACCTCACAAGAGCCCAACTTCATTTCGTGACAGGCTTCTGCAGGAGAGCAGTCAAGAAGACCTCGCCGCTCTTCGAATCGGCCTTGCTCGCCGTCGCCCACTTCACCTTCCTGTACCCCAATTTCCCAATCAACGGAGCATAAACCTTCTCAAGATCAACCCCTTTGCTGAAGAAATGATCCAGCCACAAGTACCCGCCGCTCCTCAACACCCTATCAATATCAAACAGCAAGAACTCCAGCGCCACGGTTGGAATCCACCTGTTCACCGCCCGCCCGCACCGCACGATGTCCATGGTCCCGTCGAACACCGGCAACCGCTGCTGCAGCGGCGCGTGGAGCGGCACCAGCCCCCTCAGCGCCGCGACCTCGCTGAACGGAGCGAAAACGTTCATCGTCGTCGTCAAAACCGTCACATTGTAGGCCTTCATTCTCGCCGCAAATGTTCCCGTGCCTCCGCCGATGTCGATCCCCAATCTCAGCACCGAATTCGCCGCCTTCGCGATCTGCATCAGCTGGGGAACCGGCAAATCCAGCTCCGATTTGTACGAAACAAAATTCGTAACTTCCTTCCCCAAATCAAAACCCAAAATTGGGTTCATCCTGTTCAGACAATCCAAGCTCTTGCAACTGTACCGATTCCAGAGCAAATACGAGTCGGGGATCGAAGAAGGGAAAGGGTTTTGAGGGAGAGAAGAAGACGAGGGCTTCGGCGGAGTTCGGGAGAAGCAGCGGCGGCGAGGGAGGGGGTGGCAGCCGCGAAGAATCAGGGTTTCCGCGAGGTCGTCGGAGGAGGAGGGGCAGAGAGAGAAGGGGGTGTAGTTCATGAAGCGGTGGAGGAGGTCTGGGTGGGCGTGGCAGGCGGAGGCAATGGGGGAGAGCTGGGAGTAGAGGAGGAGATCGGCGGGAGGGACGGCCGCGGCGGAATTTCCGGCGGCAGAGTTGGGGTTGTGGTGGCGGCGCGTGAGGTGGTTGATGGTGGCGCGTATCGTGGTGAGCTGGTGGATGAGGTGGTCGGGGACTTGGTGGGAGGCGGTGGAAGGGTTGTTGGCGGCGGTGGAGGGGGAGTTGGAGGAGAGATGGTAGAGAGAGAGAATGTTGGTGGCCACCATAGCCAACAACAGAAGAAGATTCAGACCCATTGTGAAACCCATTCTTCTTCTTCTTCTTGTTTTTTCTCTCAGATTTCTCAGCTGCTTGGTCAGTGAAGTAAAGTGTAACTAGTGAAGTTCATTTGGGGTCGGATCTCATGCGGGCGAGTTTAGATTTTTGGATCTGGACTTGTTGGATTGGGCTTTTCTGGCTGTTGACATTGTACAACGGTGTGGGACCATGAGTAGGTAGAGTTGATATCTAGATTTTCGTTGGAATCCAACGGGTAACATTTTTTATGTTTTATTATTGGTTTGGTACTCTCGTCGTTTCTGTATCCATGGTCGGCGATTAGGACATATCACTTTACATTAGGACTAAAGTCTGCGTTAGATTATTTATTATTAGCATAAAAAATTTAAAAAAAAAAAGCATTACATTGTCTTGTTCTATGGGCGGAGAAGTTTTTAATCCACTTAAATTTTGACGGTCTGATTTAAGATCCAAAATATTTTTTTTATTGTGAGTTGCACTATTTTTAACGTGAACTGAACAATAATAATAGATTCGACTGTTAGAATATATTTAAATTGCTTAAAAGAATTTACTTTGCTCTAAAACAAAATAACGTGCACTTATTGTTATAAAATCTGCAAGTTGATGATGAAGTTACCTGGTGGCACGTGAGATTGGACCTACTTGCATATTTGTTAAATGGCATTTGATGCAGATTTCTTTTTCTTTCTTTCTTTCTTTTTTTTTTTTTTTTTGTGAAGGCAACATTTCATGCAGATTTTGTCTTCATGTTTGCCAACAATGATGAACAAGCCCCACCGTGTTTTGAGAACGCCCTTGATGACCGAACCATACTCGTCAAGAGGAAAAAAAAAAAGAATTTAAGTTAATTTTATATTAAATTTTGATTCTGGAATTTAAGGTTGAATTTGATTCTTGTCTTTTAACATTCAAAATGTCTCATAATCAGTCATCAATCGACAAAACCGGCTCATCAATGGTTGATAAAATATTGTTTAAAAAATAAATTGTAATCAAAAGAATAATACGAGTGTCGTGTCGTTTAATAAGAATATTAAGGTAATTTTATACAAAGAAATGAAGTTGTTTGTTTTATGGCTTTAAATTTATGGTTTTTATAGTGTTTTTTTTAATAAAAATCATAATAAAAAATTATTAATTTAAATTCATGAACCAAAAAAAATTCAAACGAAATTGAACTCTTTGAGACAATATTTCAAAGTTTGGATGGAGAGTCATGGAAGTGGTTGATGTGAATTGAAAATCTTCTATTCAAACTCAACCAGGTCAAATAAGATAAAATAAAACAACAAAAACAACTTCACTATGAGATTAAATTTAGTTTTTGTTATGCTGAACCAAATATATATATAATTTGTGCCAATTCAAAAATATATAGAGAACTTGTAGTGTCCGTTAAGTTAGTTGGTCATTACGTATATTCAATTAATCTGAAAGGCACTACTTTTCGTGGACTGCTTTAATCTAAATTAAACAATTTTACGATATTTAAATACACAAAGTGCACTAACATTCTAAGAATCTATTTCCTACAGGACGAGTTAATTATGCAAGTAGTGGTGGAAAAAAACATAACTTGTATATATATATATATAACTTTTCGTGGGAGGACCATTTGTATAATGTTAAACTTGTACTACTGAGGAGACTACTCTTCACGGCCACTTCCTTGGACTACATTCCTTTAGGTATTCATGGCCATTATCTCATCCAGATTCGAGGTCTCCCAGTTAGATCAAGCGTTCACATCAAACATGTGAAGAGCAAAGCTATTTTCATTCCATAAACATAAGATTTACATAAAAATCACAAATGGTTATTAAAACTATTTAGGCCATGTTTGATACACACACTGCGTATTGTATTGTTTAGTAATAATACAATATTTGGTGATATTTATACATTTGTTTAATTTAATACGAGATTCAAAATTGATACAATACAAAGTGTAATGTCTAATATGGAAAAAAAAAAAAAAAAAAAAAAAAAAAACATGTGTACTAAACCGCATTATGCAATTTAACTTAAAATATCATATTAAAAACATATAAAATATTTTACAAATATCAAGGCTCGGGGTTGGGTTTTGAAACTGACGTAGCGATCGAGTTTTAAGACTGGAGTGATGTTGGGTTTATATTTTTTAAAAATTACATTTTCACTCCTAAACTTTTAAGAATTATATTTTTGATCCATAAACTTTTTAAAAATTATGTTTTGACCCCTCAACTTTTTGAAAATTATAATTTCCCCCTTAATTTTTTAAAAATTACAATTTGACCCCATTTTTCTGCAGAATGCTATCCAATTTGAATTTAGGATGAAGTTTTCAAGGACATTAGTGGTTGGCAAATAAGTGGACTAAACATGTTAAGAGTTTTTATACTAACTTTAGGCATGCCTAAAAGATTTTCTTTTGTTTTCTGATTGGTAATGTAAATGGTACAAATGCTACGAACTATTAGCACATTGATCATATTTGGGTTTATATAGAAGACGAGGACCAAAAATCGTATACATTTGATAATTTGTCGATTTTCTGCCAAAAATCATATAAGATTATAGATGGAATTTATGGTTTTCTTCATATGATTTTTGGACTTCAGAAAAGTTATCCGAAGGTTCTAGGTTATCCGAAGGTTCTAGTTACGAGTTTGGATGTGAAAGATGCTTGGACTCTATCTTTGATGCTTGTTATACGTTTGAAGGACCCTATATTGCTATAATGAGAAAGTCAGCAGGGGAATCAAATGCATAAGGAAATGCAATATGAATATGCAATTTCCTCGGAGGGATTTGCAAAATATTTGATCAATTATCTAGCAGTCAAAAATGGTGAGGAGTGCATCGTGATATTCTTCTCTTATTGATGGTCAGTGTAACGTCTACAATTTGGATATGGAATCTTATAACACGAGTGTAGGGTGGATTTGAATGGAAAGCTAGTTGCTCAAACATATTGAAGATTTTTGTGAACTTTTCTTTTTATTAGAGCACTCTTATTCATTTTATGAGGTTAAAATCCCGCTACTCACATGAGGTAATCTCGTTATTCACATGAGGTGAATCCCGATAGGTGGGCAGGTGGGACCCACCATTTTGTGAGTGACATGGAGATGAAAATCATTTTTGTTTTTTTGAGGTGGGCAGGTGGGACCCAACCTAGAGGGATCCACCATTTTGAACTGTTAGATGATTGGTTTCATATTCTATACCCGTCTTCCCACTTGTATCTATGGCAGCTGAGCTATGTAATTTCATTATCACTAAGATTCACATGCCAGAGCACTCACATGCCGGAGTACTGTACGTGCTAAATTAGTCTTTAGGAACATAAAAACATTTAGGGCCCGTTTGTTTGCGTTTTCGTTTTCGTTTTTCACGGTTTTCAAAGCAAAAAAATGAAAACGGGTGTTAAAAACGTGTTTGGTGCAACTTTTTTTTAAAAACAAAACCAAAAACGTTTTTGTCTTTTTGTGGAAATCAGAAAACGAAAAAAAGGTGTTTTCATTTTCTTGTTTTCGTTTTCTGTTTTCTGAAAAACGGATTTCACTTTTTTTTTTCTTTTTCATTTTCTTCCCTCTTTTCTGAAACCGTTTTTGTATTATATATGTTTATTTAATATATTTATTTAATATATTATTATTTAATATATTTAATAATATTATTTATATAATATATTTAATAATATTATTTATTTAATATATTTAATATATTATTTATTTAATATATTTAATAATATTATTTATTTAATATATTATTACATGTTTTCAAAAATTAAACCACCAAACGCAGTTTCAGTTTTTTTTTAAACTGAAATCAATCTCTAAATAAAACTACCAAACGCATTTTTAGAAATAATTCAAAAATGAAACTAAAAACGTTTTCATTTTCATTTTCGTACAGAAAATAAAAACGTTTTGGAACCAATTCCAAACGCACCCTTAGGAACTTTCGAGATCTCCCTCCTTCCCTCGCATGGTACGGTCAGCCCTTTTCTTGTTTATTTCTTATGTGTTTATTTTGTTTGGTGGCAGAAAGCTGTCTAAGTACTACTATTGCGACTTAATTATAATCAAAAGAGTTATACGAGTGTCGTGTCGTTTAATAAAAATATTAAGGTAATTTTATACAAAGAGAGGGGATTGTTTGTTTCATAGCTTTAAATTTATGGTTTTTATAGTGTTTTTTTTTAAATAAAAAATCATTAATTTAAATTCATGAACAAAAAAAATTCAAACGAAATTGAACTCTTTGAGACAAGAGTTCAAAGTTTGGATGGAGAGTCATGGAAGTGGTTAATGTGAATTGAAAATCTTCTATTCAAACTCAACCAGATCAAATAAAATAAAATAAAACAACAAAAACTTTGCGACGACATTAATGTGTGTCGTCGTAATAAATGATTTTGTATTCCTTCAGTAAAATAAAAGGCGGAAAAATTAGGTGGGTCCCTAAAAATTATTTACAACAACGACATTATAGGTGTCGTCGCAAATAATAATTTCATAACCTTCCTTCTAAATCCTAAATAATTTAGTTATATTTGTGACAACATGTGTCGTCACAAATAATGTAAGTGTCGTTGCAAATAGTTTTTTCTGTCGTCGCAAATAGTTTTTTCTGTCGTCGTAAAAAACTCTATTATATGCCCACGAGCAGAGTCTCCTCCTCCATTTTTTCTTATCAACTTCTCTCTCTCTCGGCCTCTCACCGGTTTTCTGACCCCAAACTCTCAAAATCTCCTTGTATTCTCTTCAAAATCAACAATATTATAAGTTTTATTTGTTTTTCATCCAAAAAATCCCAAAATCTTGCCGTCAAAGTCCGCCGCCATCAAAGTCCACTACCGCCGCCCTTTGCCCTTATTTATCATGCCGTTTTCAGCCCCCATTTCAGTGGGTTTGAATTTTGTAAGTTTTTTTATAAGTATTATATTTTTTTAGTTTAAAATGCATCAGCTTTTTGTTATTTGAATTGTGTATAATTATGGATTATAAATCTTGAAGCTTAATTTATAGATTTTAAAATTAGTATATAATTTGAAATTTGGATTATAGATTGAATTTTAGATTATGAATTTTTAGATTGTTGAAATTTTT